GAATAGTCCACAGCAATTCATAAACTACATTTTGGAAGATATTTCTCAAACTCAACCCATTATGGAGATCCCCAAGGAACTTATTAGAAATAAATTCCTGGGCCCAACCTCACAGATGTTCAATCGAATCTCTGGGATAGGTCCTGGAGAAGCGTATCTTTACCAAGATCTCCAGGTAATTCTGATGATAAATCGAGTTTAGAAAGCAGGATCCCAGAATCACTTAAATTATTTTCTCTTAAATGTGCTTTCTTATACTAGTCCCCATTGATACTCATTTACAATTTTTCTTGCCAACTTACCCTGTGTTGAGAGAACTTCGGGGGATATATTTCCTTTGGAAATGCTGTTCGTCACTTTGCATTCTTTATGTTATAAAAGCAGCCTCAGATGGGAAATCCTGCTGCCAGACTGCTCTCTCTTGGGGTGTGTCCATTTATCTTCACCCATTGCTACAGCTCCAAGTACTGCATTTTTGATAAAACAATTACCTGGTGGACAAGTTCAATGGGGAAAGCACTGCCATGAGCCAAAGGCAGAAACATGGGATGGAGTTTGATATCTTGTATTCTCCAAGCTACCTGAAACACTTACACAAAAACTCTACTCCTGAAGATATGCAAACTAGACCACCTTTCAGAGAAGGGAGAAAAAGAATAGGTATCCCTGGACTGTTCTTAGGTTTGAATATTTTAAGGGAATCTTCCTTTATCTCTTCAACTGAGTTAGATCATCTGCAGTAAATTAGTAAGAACTCAACATAGAAGTTTATATTCTCCTCAAGACAGATCACAAGATCTAGCTCACTCTAGAATACCTAGGTCCACTTCCATGTTTGTAATCACCTCGTCCCAGCTGTTTTCTTTCTGGAGAAGTCATTTGAATTGACAGATGCATTGGAACCCCTATTCTTCCAGTAGCGAAGACACCAACTTCAGAAATGACATTGTCCTTCTGTTTAGCCCCTTCAGGAGTCTTAATGGTTGTTAGAGTTTTTAGTAGCAGTGAAGGGAGCAGAGAATGTGTTCACCCAGGTTTTGACCTGACAGCGCAGGGGCAACTTATTGGCCACTAACTAGTCAGACTCAGGTTGGTGACTGGCCTGACCAATGCAATGAACATGTGATTGTCACTCTCACTGGCACTTAACGGTTCTCATCAGATAAGCCAAGCAACTGGAAGTCCGTGTGGGTTTGGTCCTGGCCAAGAAACTAGAAGTCTGTGTGGGTTTGGTCCTGTGGTCATTCATCTAGAAAGCCCTTCAGAATATTAAACAGACATTCTGTTCCTCTGCAGCTAACCACACAAAGCAAGGGGAAGTGAGGCATAGCTCCTGGCAAGCTTGAAGTCTTCCACCACAGTCGATACACCTCCAGCAGCTTCAAATAAGTGATTGAATTCTCCTGGAAGAATTCTAATCCTTAAGCAGCAAGAATAATCAGAGCAGACTCAGCATGGGTCCCTGAAAATTTTAAATTAGGGGGAGAAGAAAGTGGAGGCTTTGAAGTGAGAGAACAGACTGAGAGGCAGGTGAGAGAATAGAGAGATGAGACCTGCCTACATGGCAGGTGCCTTCCTTCCCTAAAGAACAAGTTGAAGGTTCCTCCTGCATGAGGGGTTCAAATATTAAGAATGCTTAATTCTTTCCTGAAGCTGGGATCCCAAGAAATAGGCACTGATACAGCCATTTGCATGTAAATATTTTCAAAAGGGGTATTTCAAGGAGAAAGAAAAAAGGAAGGGGAAGACAATACAATAAAGAATGTGATGGAGGGCAGAGCTTTTCACCCCAAACTGATGCTGCCAGGGAGCTCTGGATTGTCAACTTCTTTCCAGTTTTTCCTGACTCTTGGCAAGGGACCCGGGTTCCAGACTTCTGCCTTTATCAGTCATTGGCAAATGACTTGGGGGCTGCAGAATTGTCAGGCAGGATGGGGATGGAGGGTAAACTCCAGACACTTCCCAGATCTTGCTAGGACAGAAAAGGGACCCTAGGCTAAGGGCAAAAGGCAACTCAGAAGAGAGTTGCAGGAATAAGGTTATTAGAAGAAAGTACAAGCACCCTGCAACCCTGAAGGCATCCAAAGCATCTAAGGTGATCTGAGTAGACAACAGACAACATGTGCCATGTTCTGTTTTCCTCTCGGCCTCTGACCAACCCAAAGGAAAAGCAGATTCCCTAGGGAGGAAAAAACTATGTATTCATTCACATAGTATTTACTGAGCAACTACTATATGTGCTTTTCCATGCACTAAGTGCTTGGATTTGGAAAATTAGTGAATTTCCCTTTTGAGCCATTATCGATTTATGTATTGAACATTATGAATTACTCTCAAAGCAAAAATCAGTGAATTTGAGAAGAATGAGGACCATCAATCCTCAGAAACATAAAGAACTTGGAAAATAGAATTCACTTCATAAGAGAGTAAATCAATTAATACTTATTTGATGACTTGAAGAGGCAGTGTTTTTAAAATTCAAAACAGAAGCAATTAAATAAAAAAGAGTAACTGCTTCATTGATCCACAACAAATTAACAGAATCTGCAATGCACAAAGCCTCATTTTACAATAGAAATTAAGTAGAGCATAGGATTTAATCCAAGTTCCGGTGCTTGACTCCCATGAGGAGCAGGGAAGAGGTAGCTCAGCTACCTAGATCTGTGTCTCTCCCCCGATGCAGGGCAGCAGGAAGTCAGCCATGCCTAGAATAGAGCAGAAATGAGAGCCCTAGGGAAACCCACTAGAAGAAGGGGAGCCTTTTCCTTATCAATCAGGAGTTGGCTGTGAATGGGTACAGCTGAATATTGTTTACCCTTAGCTTCATATGCTCTAATCAGAAGCTCCAGGCTTCCTTTCTCTCTATTAAAAGTTGCAGGTATTTCAACGATCAATTACTTTCAAACAATTAATAACTTTTGTCAACAAATTCTGAACCATTCAGTTTCCATTGGTGGGAGACACTTCAAAGGATATGCATGAATAGTACCTATCTTTTCATACATATATCAGTGGTACATACATGTACCAGTGATAAGCCAAACCTGGACCTGGCAATGAGAGATAAGTTTGTCACATAAACACAGAGAATATTTAAGACTTGGATTCAGATAGAACAACTATATAATCCAGCAATCCGTCTACTGAGTACATATCTAAAGAAACTGAAATCAGTATACAAGAGAGATGTCTACATTTCCATGTTTTTTGCAACACTGTTCACAAGGGGCAAGATATGGAATCAAACTAGTGTACGTCAACAGATAATGAATATGTCTGTACAATGAAATATTTTTCAGTCATAAAAAGAATGACATTTTGTCATTTTCAACATTGTGGATGGAACCGGAGGACATTATGCCAAGTGAAATGAGGCAGACACAGAAAGATAAATACTGCATGTTCTCACTTATGTGTGGAAGCTAAAAAGCTTGACCTCATAAAGAGAACAGAATAGTGGTTACCAAAGCCCGAGAAGGGTACAGAGGATAGAGGATGGAAAAGAGTACAGGGGACTGGGGTGCAGTAGGATAGGAGGGATGACTTCTAACGTTCACAGTAGGATTACAGTTGTTGACAACCATTGATTGTATCCCAGGACAAAGAAATGATAAATGTCTGAGGTATTATATATGCCGATTACCCTGATCTGATCAGTATACATTGGATACACATAGTGTTCCCTATAAATATATACAATTATTATGTGCCAACTAAACACAAAACATATATCCTTTAAAAGACAGATTCAGGAGCATAGCTCCAGTAGACTGAGTTCAAGGGTAGGGTCCATGCTTTGTTCATCTCTGAGTTCTCATTTTAGCACCTGGAACAGTGCTTTGCAGATTTGCACACATGGGCAGAACTGAAGGCAGGAGAGCTGAAGAAGGAGTGAGCTGCTATTGCGCCTCCCAGGGCTGCCAGTCATATCACGCCTAACTCCTTAGCTAGACAGTTCACATGTCCAGCCTCCAGCTCCAATTCCATTGTCTAGTTTTGTCTCCCAAGGTTTTTCTTTTAATAGAGTAAAATAGAGTACACACTGGGAGTTATAATATTTCTGTATGGTAAGTGCAAACTTCAGTTCACACCTGAAATATATCCCCCAAAGTGAATAGTATCTTTTTAATTTTTTGGTATCTGGGATTAAACTAGGGGTGCTTAACCACTGAGCCACATACCCGACCTCTTTTGTATTTTATTTAGAGACAGGGTCTCTCTGAGTTGCTTAGGGCCTCGCTAAGTTGCTGAAGCTGGTTTCAAACTCATGATCTTCCTGCCTCAGCCTCCTGAGCCACTGGGATTTAGGGATATGCCACTGTGTCCCGCTGAATAGTATCTCTAAAATTAATTTTTTTCAATTTTTTTCTTTTAAACTAAAGCATGGTCAATAAAATAAAATATTACATAAATGGAATGATTTCATAATTGCCAAAAAATGACCTTTTGCAGGTGTTTTGATTTTATAAAATTCATTTATTAGTTACTACCATATTACTATTAATTACAATGTATATGTATTTTCTCCTTTTGTAAAAAATACCTTGGTTTACTTAAAAAGTATTAAATTACTTCTTTTATATAGTGATAATTTATTTTTAAAAATTCTTTTAACTGACATGATAATATATAAAAAATCTAATAAAAGAGTATTTGATGATGTTAAACCATTAAAATTGTTAGTTTGTTGTCGTTGTATAGAAGTCAGTCTATCTTAGCTAGCCATCTTGCTTTTGTAGGTACATCTGTGAAATAGAATGCTTCAGTAAGGCTCCAGGGGTCAGTAGACAAAATAACAGGGGAGTTTTGAAATCTACGTAAGACATCCATATCTTTACTAGTTTCCCTTTAGTTCAAAGGGAAGTGTGGACTGGGAATGTGGGGATCAGAGACCAAGTGGGAAGGGTGAGTGCTCCACCATGACCACTGAGTCTTCATTTAATTGCCCCAGCGACCAGAGGTGGGTTCCTCCCTCTCCTCCTAATTCACATAATCCTCATGCTCCAATTATTGCATCCTCACTCATATAACCTTTAGAGGAAGAGAGAAAGGAAAGAATGGAAGGGAAAAATAGTTCTTTCTCCTTCCGAAATAGAATAATCTTTCCCACAAGATCCTTGCTCCCAACTGTTTCCCTTTGACTTTATAAAATTTACTTATTAGTTACTATCAATTATAATGCATATGTAATTGTTTAGAACAGGGTCATCTGCCCACTTTTAGACAGATCGTGACTCATCATTGGCATTTTTAGTTGAAATCCCTGTGCAGACAAAAACTGATGTTCTTTTGACAAGAAACATGAGTGGTTAGCTGTTGGGTAAAAAGTGAATGCTGACCGTCACTCATGTCTTGAATTAGGTTTTACTAAATTACAACTCTTCTCTCCAGACCTGAGCTCAACCCTAGACCGGACTGCAACTGCAACATTTGTGATTACAGTGGTTGGTGTGGGCATCTCAGTAAACTTGCTGCCATGAAAAAGAGGAAATCATCTGTTTATTCTCATCAGCCACATTTTCTGGGCTAGGAAACATCTAACCTATCCTGAATGTCAAGGTAGCACTTGTGCCTGCTCAAGGTAGTTGATGATTGTTTCGATCAGTGGAAAGGGTCAAACAAATATTAACTTCTCAGAGTTTTCACTCCTAACAAATTTTCTTCCATGGTCAAAGTGGCAAGGGTTTCATTCAGTGGACTGGATGCAATAACAGTCAATAAAATGACAAAAGCTTTTAATTACAAGCAAAATTAATCCCTAGACGGATCAGTTTTCTTACTTTTAATGAAAGTATCGAATTCAGTGATGATTATACAGGTATGGAAATTTGGGTTATGTCCTTAATAGTCTTTCTAGTTCCTTCTTTCTTCATAGGCTTCACTTGTTTGAAAACTTCAAATGCCAAAGTGAAAAATGAAAGGGATCAAATCATTGTTTTAAAGTGTCTCTTTTCTTGACTAGTACTAGAGTGTCAGGAGGATGATCACTTACCTCTTACTGAGTGGGGTGGGTGCTCTATTTGGCCTTTTACAAATATTGTAAGTCCTTATATCAACTATATAATCATTGTGGATATTTTATATAATAGAAATCTAAAATTCAGATTTTAAGTGATTTGTTCAAGGTCCTCAACAAAGCAGGGATTAAAATTCAGATTTTTCTGATTCTAGAGTGATGCCTGTATTCTCCCTTATGAGCCAACCTCCCTTCCATTAACTCTCATGGCCACACCTAATATGCTCATTAAGTCTCTAAAGTCCACAGAATTGTTCTAATGCATTTCTCACTGGTTAATCCTTTTGTCTCAGGTTTTGAGAAAAGTGGCCATTCCTCCTTGGCTGAGACATTTATGGAAAGCATGTGAAATTATTTGTCTTTCTAGTTCAACAACTCTTTTTCCCATCATTCTTTAGGACCAGAGACACTCTCATCTAGCTCAGTAAATAAACACTGGAAAGAATAAACATGCATCAAGCAGATGGATTAACAGACCAATCCTGTGGCCAAGGAGAGGATTTCCTCCCTATTCTTTGTTGGTCTAATAGGCAAGGTGTGTGCCAACAGATTTTATAAGCACCCGAGAACAGCAATGACAAGCAGCCACTGAGTTCACAGAAGCCCAGGTGGTTTCAACATTTCCCCAAGGAGTTAGCCAGGAGGGGCCCTGACAGGTCCACTTCAGATGGAGGAAGAGAGTGAGAAGGACCATCGGGCTTTGCTCAACCAAGGAGAGGAGAATGAACTGGTGAGTCTTCCCTTTATTTATTAGTTTTCTCAAAGCACCCAAGGCTGTGGTCCAGGGCTACCGTATTCAGGTAAATTAGAAAATAAACTATAGTACCAATTGTGGTGGTTCTAGTACCTGGAAAGGGGAGAGTCCGGTAATGCATCATGAGAGCTGCAGGGCACTATTTTGTTGTAAGAGAACCTGCAGGAGCTGAGATAGTTTTGTCTTTTGGATGGTAGAGTTTTGCGTCTCCATATGCGGTGGACCGTGGGAAGCTTCCTTAGCCATTCTGCAGAGTCATTGTGGTGCCTTCTCACATGGTGCACACCGAGGTGTCCTCCCCCCTGTCATCTGGGTCATCCTGTAATTGGACACACTTTGGTGAGAACGGAAATGCTTTCTTTTCTCATTCTCTTGCTTTTGGTGTGTCTGCAAGACCTGGGCTCAGAGAGTGTTTTGGGCCAAAGTCCCACTTTTTACTAAGGCCAAGACAGGTTTTAAGCACCTGGTCCTGCAGAAAAAGTAATACATAGCCTGGGACGTTAGCACAGACTTAAAAAAAAAAAATCTCACATCTTTAGTTCTTTTTTCCTACAAAACATACAAAAATCTTTAAAAATAATCATTAAAAACTTGAAAATTCTGACAGTTTCTACTTGGTATTGAGGAGTTTGCATTTATGGTTTCGTTTAATCCTCAGAATTCAGTAAAGAAGGAACTAATCCTATTTCATAGAAAAGAAATCTGAGACTAGGGAGGTTAGGTAACTTGCCCAAGGTCATTAGCCTGCATGGGGCAGGCTTGGAATCCAGCCCACTCCTTGGCTTTTACAGCCCTGGCTGTCTACACTACAATAGTGTCTCTAGCTGGGCAATGAGAAAAGGAGGTGCGTGGGGGAGAGAGAAGGAGAAGGACTGCAAGGAGAATGCCCTAGGGGACCCATTTATGTACTAGAAAGGTGTCAGCTTCCTCTATGGCTTCCCTGGTACCCTTTGAGAGCTGTGGGAAATCTGTACCAGCTCTTCCTATTCTTGTTTGTTAATCTAAGGAAAAATAAGTACTTATATCTACAGTTGTGTTGTCCAGTAAGGTGGCCACTGGCCGCCTAAGGCTCTTGAGTTCTAAAAAAGTAACTGGCTCAAACTGAAATGTGCTATAGGTGTAAAATTCATACTAGTTTTGGAAGAACTGACTAAAAAAATGTAAAATGTCCTACTAATAATTTTCATATTGGTTACACATTGAAATTCTAATACTTTAGGTAGGTTGGATTAAATAAATCTATTATGAAAATCAGTTCCCTTTGATTCTTTTTACTTCTTTAATGTGGTTGCTAAGAATTTTTAAAATTATGGCCCATAATTGCGCATACTTGTGCCACACTGAGCTCTATGATGGTTACAGTACTTAAAAATCTTAAGGCGGAAGGGTTGGAAAGAATTAAAATCTATTGGCCTGTGTCTGCTGCAGGACACCCGTCGGACCTGAAATTTTCTGAACATGCAGATGAGTGATCATGAAAATCTTATGTAGTTCTTTGTTCTTCTCTAAGGAGGTGTTGTGTATGCAAAACTGATAGTCCAGTACTTTAATTCTGCCAAATCACAGGGAGGACATGGGTATCGAAGGATTAAGTCATGGAACAGGTGCTATGGTTTTCTTCTTTTCTGTGGGTGATCAAACCCTTCTAGACTTCTAGACTTCCCAGCAAGAAGCCCTCTTTATAGTCCAGCCTTGTTTACCTCACACTGCCAGGGCATTCTGGAGAGGGGGAGCTGGCTGCGGATTTCCCTTTCATCAATCTTACTACTGGGCAGAGAGCACAGAGGCAAATTTTATTCCAGTCCTTCCTGTAATCCTGAGGATCAGGTGGGCCTGGGAGGATAAGTACACAAACTAAAGAGGAAGCTATGACTTAGCTCTAGGCAATTGCTGTCCTGCAATTGAATAGTCTGGCACTGTCAGACCTAGGCTTTCAAAGGAAAGCTGAAAATTTGGACTTCTGTGAGAAATAGCCTGATTACAAATTTTGGAAATAAATTTAAAAACAAAAATAATCAGTAGGTCAAAGCAAACCTGAGCACGACTTAGTCCCTATCTTACCTTGGGGGCTGCTACTAGGTGACTCTTACAGTCTTTTCCCCATTTGCTTTTCCTTTCTTGAAAGTTCCCCATGGCCCAAATCTGACTTCTACTTTCATTCGTCATTTCAAGTTGTGATTGTGTTGAAAGGATCAGAGGTGGAAACCAGACACGGATGGAGTAAATAATGGATTCCTTCAATCACACACCCAGCAGAACCTAAGTGGATGGAGAAGGCTTGTGAACTACTCAAGAGCAGTCTTGGGTCACTTTGATGAGCTCAGCTCAGATATAAAGCAGTGCATTCCCTCTCCTGTTCCAGGCCCTAAATCCTCCAGCTGGGGCGGGGATGATGCCCTGCCCTTGACAAGCCCAGTTTCATTTCACCTGCACAACAGCTGGGGCAATAGACGCTCTCACCTTCCAGGTCTCCACTGGCCTTCCCAACCTGCTTCCGCCCACCTCTCCCCCTCCCAAATACAGTCCAGCTCTCATAGGGTCCTCCTCTTCCTTCACTTTTTCTTATCCTAAAAATTTGTCCTCTCCAGGGGCTTCCCTCAGCCCCTCCAGTCACAGACAGCTTTTCTTATCTTCTCTTGAGGTCCTCTCATGACCCTCAACTTCACTTGACAGCCAAGAGGATCATTCACAGCATAGACCCCAATGAACCCAGAGCCTTCAGGCTACTTGGCACAAGCCTAATGGAATGGGATTTGATCTCGGGATGATCTGGATTTGAATTTGGGTTCTGTTAGGCCAATTATCTAATCTCATGGGGATGGTAAAATTTACTATTTGAGATTGGGCTGAGGATTAAATAAAGGGACATAGCTTTTCTAAAAGTATCCTCTGTAGAACAATATTAGTAATCTGTTACATAAAAGTCTCCTTTTTCTCCTCATTTAGGCTTGAGAAATACCAGGTGAAAAGGGTGGGCAGGTTAATACATTATAGGTTCTTAGTGAAACTTTAAGGGGGCATTCTCTGGTGCTGTTATTTCCTGCACTTACGTGTTGGGGTTTTTAGCCCCTGTCTCCTCCTGACCCGCAGGAGAAGCGGGAAAAGCACGCCCTGACCAAGACGAGCCAAGAGAGGTAAAGGTCAACTGGAGGCCTGCACCCAGCCCTCCCTCGAGGGAGGACAATCAGACATGCCAGGGAGATGAGTCTTAAGCAGGATCTCATTTATTGAGGAAGTACACACAACTTATATACTGCACAGGAGCCAATCAGGATAAAGGTCAGAGGGGTGGAGCAAGTTCATGTGTACACCCATCCCATAGTCTGTAAGGGAAGGCATGAGGGTGGAAGAGTCCCGGACCTATCCTGGAGGTGGTCCGCCTTTTCTGTCACCACCCACAGCACCGCCTCCTGGTTGATCGCCAGGCGCATCCCAGCCAAATGTGCAGCCCCAAGACCGGGAAGCTGGAAGCCGTGCCCTACACTTACGATTTTGGGAAATGATCCCACTGCCCCCACTGCACGTGACTGTGTGTGCACGCACAGATTCTCTCCGGATTTCTGCTCCATGGACCCTCCTAGGAGAGGTAGGAATGTTCTCAGTGATAGATAGGTATCAATAGGTATTGTTTTGTCATTGTTACCCTTCTGGGAGAAAAAAAAAAAAAAAAAAAACATCCCATCTGCTCTCAGCCAGATGTGCATATCAGCCTCTGCTTAGGGGTCCTCTGGACATGTGCTCACTGCCCCTACATTCTGAGGACCATCTTTCTGGGCCTGAGCCACAGCCATGAGCGTTGCTTTACTCATATCTTTTGCAAAGCCCAGCATTCAGTCTGTACCCTCTTCTGTACCTATTGCATGGATGTCCAAGCTCCAGAAGGGAGCAGCTCTCAAAGGAAAGAGCCACTTAGTGTGGAGGGATACAGAAGCAATAGGAAGGCATCTTGCTTTGTGGTAATTTTCTCCTGCCAAATTGTAGAGGAGCCTCAAATCCTAAGAGAACAGATCTGGATTTTAGTCAAGGATCTGCTGCTAACCATGCAGCTGTGAGAATCTTTTTGAACCTTGCTGGTTGCCTAAAAATAATTCCACTTACACTCTTCTGATTCATAATTTCTGTGAAAGTCATGTACAAAATATGGAAAGTGCTATGGAAAATAAGGGGTTCATTCACCCTGCATTTATGATGTGCAAGTTGAAAAGTGTAGGCATACATATATGAGGTGAAACTGGTGTTGAGCTCATTTCCCCCTTCTCTGATTAAAACGTGGGGAATGATAATTGCTGGAGTTGCACTGTTACAAGAGCAATCTGTGAAGAGTTGGCAAAAGAAATCTGGAAACTAGACATTTAGATTATTTCACATTATCTGTTCTTTCTCCTCCATTAAATCTCCCCAACCAAAAAAAAAAAAAAAAAAAACCAAAACACACACACACACACAAAAAAAACCAAGCAAACCAAAAGGATTAATAATGAAAAGTGAAAATTGAAATTGAAAAGCCAGCCCTATTGGCTCTCTCCTGTCTCCCGTCAACATTTACAATAACAACATGGTTGAAGGTAAACCTATCAATCTTGAACTGACACTAGCTGTGAGGGAGAGATAAGAATATAGGTGACAGAATCAAGATTTAAACATTTCTCTAGGCTGGATTGTGGGAGAGTAATTGGTAGGATACAGTAAAACAGGCCTTACTGTTGAGTTCCTGTTTTAAATTATTATTAAAGTACAAGGTGAGAAACTTAGTAACTTGGGCTTGTAGTTGTGCGTGGAAAAGTCATTGAAGTGCTTGATTTGGTTCTGGCTGAATATAGTTGCCAGGGTGATGCAGCTATTAAAAATATTAGTTCTGGAAGGACTTAATGGAAGTCTGTTTGGCAGATTAGAAGAAATAAAACTAGTTCTGCTATAATCTGTACTTTTGAGGAAAAAAATCTACAGTTTTATTTCATTCTAAAACATACACTCTC